GTGTGTGTGTGTGTGTGTGTGTGCATGCCTGTGTCTGTGTCCTTGTGTTATGTTGGCAAATTGAGGCAGGGATGCTCTACCAGTGAACTGTACTCTAATCCCTTTTTAAAATTATTTTGACAAGGCCTTGCTAAATTGCCCAGACTTGCCTGGAGCACATAGTCCTCCTGACTTGGCATTCCAAGTGGCTGGAATTAAAGATACATGACACTCTATTTAGCTAAGCTTGGGCAATTTTTTCACTATTTTCTTCTTCTATTTTTAGCACTGTAATATCTTTGGATACCATGATGATGGATAAGTTTTTGTGTAGATCTACTTTCTAAGGAGATCACATGTACATAACAGTTAAGCTTATGAGTTGGGAGATATTTTCATATTTTCTCTCTATCATGTTATATATGAACATATAAATAATAGAGAAGAATATTTTCCAAACTTCTGTTCTGTGCATGGCACTTCTCTATACATTTTTATAGAATTCATGCCATTGAAGTCTAGCAATACTACAGAGCGAGTAATTAAAATTTCTGATTTGTAAGTAACTTCAAAGGCATTTACAGCAATGATATTGCAGTTCTAGTAGTAGAATTGGAATTTGAATATGAATCTGTGTCTTACCATCAAAATTCATATACCAAAATCCTCCTCCCTATAACCTCAGAATGTGACGCCATCTGGAGAAAGGATTTGTAAAAAAAATAAAAATAAAATAACAGTAAAAAATTAAAGTGATGTCATTAAGATGAGCTACAATACAGTATGACTGGTCTCTATAAGAATGTGACCACAAGTAGTGCATAGGGCCACGTGAACAGGGCCACACAAGAACATGGCCTTCTCCATGCCAAGGAACATATCTCAGAAGAATCTTATGGACACCTTGATCTTAGACTTCAAACCTCCAGAATTGTAAAAAAATGTGTTCTACATTAAAGCATCCATTCTGTGGTAGTTTGCTATAGCAACTCTAGCAAGTGAATATGATCATCGTTTAGCAAATCTATATCCTTTTATTTCCAACAGAACTTTTGGTTGACCTGTTCTTGTCTTAGTAACTACATAGCACTTAATGCAGGCTAAATACAAATTAAGCGCTTCATCCATATAAATCATTCATTTCTCACCAAATCGTGAAGTGTAGTATTTGAGTTTGTAAACTAAACATAGGTGGTCCAGTTCCGGGATTTGCGATCATCTCTGGGCTCTGCTGACTTATTGATCTCACCATGCTCTCCAGGTCCACTTCCATCGTACAGCACTGCCTTTGTCCTGCAGTCCTTCTCTCATCAGTTCATTTTAAAACAATTATCAGGGCCGGGATTTAGCTCAGTGGTTCGGTGGCCTGCCCCGAGTTCAATCCCCGGTACCAAAAAAAATTTTTTTAAATAAAAAAAATAAAACAATTATCAGAGCTTATCACTAGCATTAAATCTGAGTTGTAACTAAACTAATGTATTAGTAATTTTTGAATTACCTCTATGCCTTTGACTTTATTGATCTCCTTTTTATATCAAAGTTCTATTAAGACCCATCTCATTTACTGTCTTCCATGAGATCTTCAGCACTGCCTTTGTCCTGCAGTCCTTCTCTCATCAGTTCATTTTAAAACAATTATCAGGGCCGGGATTTAGCTCAGTGGTTCGGTGGCCTGCCCCGAGTTCAATCCCCGGTACCAAAAAAAATTTTTTTAAATAAAAAAAATAAAACAATTATCAGAGCTTATCACTAGCATTAAATCTGAGTTGTAACTAAACTAATGTATTAGTAATTTTTGAATTACCTCTATGCCTTTGACTTTATTGATCTCCTTTTTATATCAAAGTTCTATTAAGACCCATCTCATTTACTGTCTTCTCCATGAGCTCTATTTTTTAGATGTTTTCTTCTGTCCAGTGAAGCCTCATGTGCATATTTACATACACACTTGCCTTATTATGTTCAATATGTCTTACATTGATACCAGGTGATGAGCCACATAGGCTGTGCATGTTGGTGCTCGACATATTGCTTGTGTTAGAGCCACAGTATGAGTTCACAACTGCTGCCACACAAGTAAATACAACAAACTGAGTGACATGAGTAACAGAAGTTTATTTCCTCACAGTTCTGGAGCCTGGAAGTCCAAGAACAATGCAATAATAGTTTTGATTTCTCCAAAAGTCTCTCTCTTCGTCTTGCAAACAACTGCCTTTGGTGTCTTCCTGTGGCCTTTCTTCCAGGCATATACACTTTTGGTCTGTCTCTCTGGCTCTTTCTCTCCGTTCTCCCAGGACACCAGTTATACTGGATTGGGATTCTACCCTGATGACTTCACTTAAATTTAATTATGTCCTTCAAGATCTGATTTTCAGATATGGTTAAATTAGAGATTAGAGCTTCAATTTACATGTTAGAGGAGGGGAGACATAATTCAGTCCACAACAGTCACAAAAGAAATTTAAGAATATTTGTTGAATTTAATGCTAATAAGTTGTAAGGCATGGTGTGCCGGCAAATATTTAAGTCAGTTTCTTCTAAAATAGCTTTGATTTGTAGTGCTTTTTTACTTTTCCTGGTATAATGTATATACCATGGTGGCTACCAAACTATCAATATGTCAATCAACCTACAATTTAGCAGTTGACTCTTGTAAACCAGTATCGATGGTCTCTAGCATGCCACTGATGCAGGGTAGAGTTTTTCAGGGCTGATAGTAAAGAAAATGCAAAAGATAACAGTGTGCTGTGCTTTTGTTTTTACTTCTTTGTTAACCATCCAAAAATGAAATCTAAACCTCAGAAATTAATGTGTTAGGGGAAAATATTGTTATCCATCTAAGTTGTTAAAGCAAACTCCATACTTAGTGGTTGTTTTTCTGTGTTTAGGTGTCCAGTAAGTTGAAAAGAGGATGAAGAAAAAACTTCCCAAGGTGACATTTTAATGGACAGCACATTAAATTAAGTCATTAAAAATTGAATCCCCAGTAGGCAGCTTAATCATTATAATTAAACCAAGTAGCTTAAGTAAAGCTTAACCCAATCAGTAATGTTTCTTTCAAATGCTATGTGTGTTTTGATAATTTGTTCATTAGAAAAAAATGTCCATTAAGCACCAGTAAGTAGAATTAATGCATACCTCGAAGAAGTACATTTCATTACTTTAAAACACTGTCTTCACTAGTATGCAACGTATAACCAGAAATGACTAAGAATAAGGGTGTATTATTGTATGTAGTTATTGGTATAATCATGGCCCGAAACATACTGTGCTGTGAAACATTTTGGTGTGGCTTGAATACCTTGACTGATGTAAACATGGTATAAAGGTTATCAATTACTGCAGGCTTCACTGAAAATATCCCTAAGAGATGAAATGCTTTGTGTAGGCATCACTGACCCATAAAGTTCCAGCACGATAGTTTGATGTCTCCTGAATGGTTTAATTTAATATAATGCAGTGTGTAAAGGTTATCAATTACTGCAGTCCTTATGGAGGATACTTTGGTTTTGAGTGATACTGATTTAAAAAATACTATACATATTGCCAGCCATATTCACTGGTAGTGCAATAGACCAGCACCAGACACTTTGGACTACAATTGATTTCCTTCAACTGAGTGAATTCTACAGTTCTCTAGAATGCTTTCACTTATAAGTATATAATGGCATTTGCTGGTTAAACAGAGTTGTGACAGAACCTCTTTAACTACAAAAAAAATTTCAGTTGCTCAAATACACAAAAATAAGTCCAAAATAATCTAATAATTTAAACCACTCATTTATAATCATATTTATGAATGAAAATATTTCTTAAGTGAACATGGAGCATAATATTGTCTTTGAATATTATTAGAGTATATATTTCATAACAGTAATATATATGTCACAATTAAATTTTATCATGTGAAATCTCGAAATAAAGATTCACATGTAATTTGAAATTACATAATATTAATAGTGATATTCGCTATATTACTGCTAAGATGTTCTCGCACCTAAAGTGCTTGCAATATGACAATGTAATTTAAAATATTCAAACTAGAGTTAAATTAATCCTAGATTGGAGTCAGCCTGTATAGCAACAATTTATGGATCATATGGCTTTACTCTTCCCTAAAAATATAATATAG